GTGCGATTGGCACAGGACAGAGCGGAGTTTAGGGCTGTTGTACATAGGGTCGCTATGAGTCGCAGGCGACTCGACGGCACATAACAACAACAAACAACAACAGGTTTCTTTTGAAAAAAATGAGACATATTTCCTTAAAGAACATCACTATATACCTACATGTATTTTGTCTTCTTAAAGAAAGGCATTGATGAAGTAAAAGGGAAAAGTACTGAATTATAAAGGGTATTTTTAGAATTAATTAAAACTTTATGTATATGCCTATTATTTATTCAAATTATGAAACATTTCAAAGAGCAGAGAAGTGCTTATCTATTTTTCATATGATTTCAGACATTACTTCTCATTGAAATAAAAATTATATTTTTAGCTATTACACAAAAGAATTGAATTTTCCAATTATTTTGTGGCAGGAAATTTCAATCCTACATTCTACCATTTGTCTTATCAGCCTAATGCCCTCATGTTGTGCTATGTACAATTTATGCTACTAATAAAGTAAATTACTTCTCTATATCCTGATTTCATCCTAAGTCATGAAATCCATAAAGTTTCTGTTTTGTGTGCTAGAACTATTTTTTCATTATACACATCAAAATAGAAATGCATTTATTAAAGGAAATATGTTTACTTCTATATTATCTTAAAAATTTATATACAACAATAATTGCCTGGCATAGCACACACTGGGAAATAATGTGATAAGGCAATCTTTGCTATAGTAATAATATAGGAACATAGTTATGAAGTAATGTGTTTTGAGAAGAATCACTCACTTTTATGATCCACTTATTTTTCAGGTTTGTGGAAGGAATGCTTAACATTTGCTACAATGCCATCGATCGCCATATTGAAAATGGTAAAGGAGATAAGATTGCTATCATCTATGACAGTCCTGTTACAAATACTAAAGCGACTATCACCTATAAAGAAGTCTTGGAGCAGGTAACATCAGAACGTTTCTGCACACACATTATTGGAAATAATATTAAATTATTTAAATGACGCACATTCTTAGTTTTACTTCCATTAAGTCATTGACATATGCCAACATGATTTTCTTTTAAAGCACATTGGAAAGAAAGAAATAGAGCTCTCTCTTTTAGACTGGTTTAATTCCTTTAATTTTTATTTCACATCATTGAAAGGTATTCATTTCACAGTGACCAATTATCTAATCTCTAATTATTGTTGTTTGGTGCCAGTGGTTGGTTCTAACTCATAGTAGCTATAAGTACAACATAATGAAACACTGCCTGATTCTGCACCATTTGCTCAATCATATCCATGTTTGAATCCATCTTTCATCTTCTATGTCAGTCCTTCTTGTTGAAAGTATACTTTTTTTTTCTGACCCTCTTCTTCACTGAACATGAGGTCTTTCTTCAGATACATGTTCCTCCTGATAGCTGATAGCATATCCAAAAGTAAGTCAGGCACAGTCTCACCATCTTCCCATCTAAAAAGCATCCTTGTTATACTTCCAAGACAGAATTACTAACTGTTCTGCAAGTTCATGGTATCTTCAGTGTTCTTCAATGCCATTGTAATTCAAATATGTCAACTATTTAGTCTATTCATTGTCCTACTTCTGCGTGCATTGAAGGAGTCTAAAACATGTCTTGGATCAGGCAAAATATTACCTTTTCCTTTTAATACTCTAAGATATCTTGCACAACACATTTTCCCAATGCAATATATTATTTGATTTCTTGACTGCTGTTTCCATTGATTGTGGATCCGGTGAAATGAAATCCATGGCAAAACCAGTGTTTTCCCTTTAGATCATGATGTTGCTTATTAGTCCAGCTGTGGGGAATTGTCATTTTCTTCTTTATATTGATCTTACAGACTTTGATCTTTCTCATTAAGTGCTTCAGTTATTTGCTTTTAACAAGCAACGGTGTGTATTTTGTGTATCACATGTTGTTAACTAGTCTGCCACATGTCCTGTTTCTTTGGCACATAGCTCAGTTTCTTATATTATTGGCTCCACATACAGATTGAGTAAGTATGGTGAAAGAATATAACCCTGTTACATGTGTTTTATGATTTTACACCAACAATCAGTTAAGATAAATTTAATACTCTAATGGAGAGTCTCAACCTTGCCTCTTTCGTTGTTGTTTTTATGTGCTGTTGAGTCATGTGGGACTCATAGTGACCCTCTGTACAGCAGCTCTGAATCCCTCCCTGTTCTGCGTCAGTCTCACTGACTCCGACATTAGCATAGGCATTGCTCCAGTCTCTGTATCAATCCATCTCATCTGGGGTCTTCCTCTCCTGCGCTGTCCCCTCACCCTTGCAAACATGTGTGGGAGGATAATTATTTACTGTCAGGACTGTTATGTATGTTTTAGGGTGTTTAGCAGCATCACTGGTCTCTACTCACTACATAATAGTTGCAGTCATCCCAGCTCTCCCCAGATAAAGCAACCAAAAATATCTTCACCTATTGATAATATGCTGGAAAGAGGTTAGAGGTTGTCTGCACTGGTCCAAATTCTCAAATGCTAAGGTTTAGAGAAACTACTTTTGAAATGAATGTATTTTTACCTGTCTTGGTTATATCCCTTGGTTTAAAAAAATCCATTTATTGCTGTTAGTTGCCTTAAGTCAGTCAGCTCTGATTCATCCCAATCCTATGTGTGACAGAACAATATATTGTCCAGGATAAAAAGAATGTAGTAGGTATGGGGTGACATTGTCTGATTCCACTAACTTCAGAAAGAGGAAGAATGCAACCAACAGCACAAAGCCAATTCCTATGAGATTAGACATTCCCCCACACTCCACAACTGTCTAACAATATCAGCACCAAGCCTCCCTCTCGTGTTCCTCACTACTGCACTTTCTCATTTCTGTCAGGTAGGTTTCCAACTCATAGCAGACCCTCCAGCAGATTTTCAAGGCCAAAAATCTCACCAGAGGAGATTGCTCATCTTCCTCCTGCAGAGCCACCAGAGGAGTGTGACCTGATTGGCAGTATAACCTCTCTACGAACCACCAGGACACCCCTATTCTACAGTTGTTGTTGTTGTGTGCTGTTGGGTTAGAAGCAACTCATAGTTGACCCTCCAGTGGCTTTTCAGAGGCTATAAATTGCTTGGGAGAAGGTTGACCAACTTTTTTTTCCCAGGGAGCAACTAGTGGACTAGAACTGCCTGCCTTTGAATTGGTAACGTGGCCCCTTATCCACTAGACCACCAGAAAGTTCAATGATTTACTACAATGGACAAGCACAACTCAAAGATGATATTGACAATTATAGGGTTTCTTAGGGAAGTAGCATGTTATAATTCATGTTGAAAATATTCAGGATTCAGCTCTTCAATCAGAATAGCCTTTCTTCAGATGTGCTCACAGGCAGGTTTCTCCTGGACTTTTGGCTTTGTTGCCTGGGCCTGTGGCCTGCTTGGCCAAGGGTTATATTGCTCTTGAGATATGCCATTTACGTGTCATCCCCACTCCTCCAGTTGGCTTAGCCTGAATACAATTAGGTCTGTCTCCAAGGGTGGTAGCTCCAGCTCAGCTGTGCCTCACACTGATCTGTGGATTCTCCATCACCTTTATTGCCACTGTTGCCACCACTGCCACCATCTGGACTACTGTCTCATTTCTTCATCTCTGATTTACTTGGGAATCTCAGGTCCAAAGGACACATCTGTTCTTCCATGGTGGTACTGCTAAATTTCAGCTAGGTGGGATGGAAAAACTACTCCATTTCACATTATGATTCTCTATGCTTTAGGGAGCTCTGGTGGCCCAATGGCAAGGACTTGAACTGTCAATTGAAAGGCAGGCTATCTGAATTCACCTGCTGCTCTGTGTGAGAAAGATGGAAAGTCTCCTCTTGTACAATTTAGACCCACTGGAAAGTTAGCTATGAGTTGATTCTGACCTCATGGCAATGATTTTCTGATGACTGACCCAAAGGGTACCATTTTCTTTATTTAACATATGACACGCTATCCAATCCTCTCATTGGGCCACAGTCATCTACTATTTGCTTATTTTGCTACTTATTACTATTCTTGCTTCTAATAAACATTCTGGTTATCCAATCCTCTCATTGGGCCACAGTCATCTACTATTTGCTTATTTTGCTACTTATTACTATTCTTGCTTCTAATAAACATTCTGGTTATCCAATCCTCTCATTGGGCCACAGTCATCTACTATTTGCTTATTTTGCTACTTATTACTATTCTTGCTTCTAATAAACATTCTGGTTATATTATTCCAAAACTGATTTGTTCATTCTTTTGGCAGTCAATTATATATTATTTTTCTACATAACATATTTATTTACTCTTCAATACCACAGTTCAAATGTTCTCCCTTTTTGTTATCTGATTCCACATACTATGAAGTGATTGAAAAGACTGTATTTTTGTTCTAGTTAACTCTGATCACCTAAATTGTATCTACACTTTAAAAAACATTAATGAGACCTTTTACAGCAGATTTTGCCAGTTTAATTTATTATTTGATTTTGTGGCTGCTGTTCTTATAGATGATGACTATTGATTCAAAGAGTATGACATTGTAATTTCCCCCCAATATATCATAATGATGCTTATCAATCCAATTGTGATTTTTTTTCTTACTTCCTTCACATTCAGGTGCAATTAATACAAAAGGTCTTTGACCTTTATGAGTAATTGCTTCAAGTCTTCCTTGTTTTCTTCCACAGCATTGTATAATTTGCAGATAGTGTTTCATTCTTTTGTTAGAAGATTTTGTTAATTTTCCCAGACTTCTCATAAAATAGTTCTGCACTGGCAGTGTAATTTAACTTTTTAAGAGATTTAAAGAAATGTAACTGAAGCATAAAAACAACAACAACAATAACAACAAAGATTCTAATGACCTCTCCAACACTGAGTAACTGTAATCAATCAAGGGAGAAAACTCAAGTCTGACTGTGTTATCTACTGTACTGTAGCAAAAGATGCTAATTTCAACTGACTTTTGCATAAGATGGATTTATTGGAAGGGAAGATTGAAGAACTAAGCATAGAAATATAGCACCTATGGAGAGTTTTATGAGTCAATAGAGTTAAAGAGAATGTCAGACTGACTAGTAACCAGATTCTAGTTAGTTCTCAGCTACTAGCTTTGTTGGCTTACGATAGTTTTTACTACTAACTGTCAATACCATACAGTAATCTAATTATCCTTCATAGCAGAACCTGATGCTTTATCTTTATATAGGACTCCAATTGGGGAAATCACAATGTAATAAGAAGAAACTTTGAATGTTGGAATGTTGAGCAATACCAGACAGAACAGAACAAAATGAATTGATGCCACAAATAAACTATGTGGCAATTTTTATTAGCCAGAAGGTGGCAGCTGTGTATATCTGGGAAGAAGTAAAACAGAATTCATATTAGGGCTGAGTAGGCAAGGTAATTCCTTACTAAATTAGCTTGTTACCCATATGAGAACACACTTTATTTTAACCGATAATAGTACATTTCCTGGAAACCTTTTATACTCCATATTTGGTTTAAAGTTGCATTTTCAGCTTTTAACATAGAGCTAGTCTATTATTAAACTCTTGTTGCTATAATTCTGGGACATTTCCACTGTCTCATTTTATGGATATTAAGGTCTAAAGCACGAGTGAATTCTAATTGGTATACATGTTAGAAAACCCATTTCTATATTATCTATATTAGCACATTAAATTTGATATATTAGCCAAATGTCAGAATCGCGGAAAAAGCTTTAGAGGAACCTAAAATAAAAATGATAAATAATTGTACCACTTCCACTTTCTATTGTCTTCTTTTAGAATTAACAGAATATTTTTTCCTTGATCATGCATAAGTTTTGTACATGATAACTTACCATGAATATTTGTGTGTGCTACAAATATATAGATACAGTTAGGATTGCCAACCAGGGACAGTATTATGTAAACCTCCTAACCATAA